CTTTTGGCTGCATTCATTACAGGATAGATTGCTGGATGCATTTAGCTACTCCATACAAACTCTTCATTATTAATGAAAACTGATGTGTACTGACACCTGGATTTTAGGGAAATATAGTCTTATGGCTAGTACTGGAAGGGGTTATTAGCATAATCTCTTGGCTTTGACAAACTATATTGTAATGGGGCAGACTCATTCCCATGACACGACCTGTTGGTCATTCTGGGCATTAGCTCAGTCCAGCTCTCTAGTGCCTTAGTTGCATAGTGTTTCGCCCATTGTTTGCTCCTCTGTCTCCTCCTTTGTCAGGATTTTGGACCCACGTTTCTCCTGGAGTGTGGTGACTTCTTCAGGGCATAGACCTCTGGCTGTGCCCCAACTCTGTTCTTCCCAGGAGAACCATTAGACCTCAGTCCTTGCACCTGACTCAGCAGCCAGCTGCAGTCCAAATTCTAGCCCCTCAATGTGGCTGTGGAGTGGCCAGGGCACTTAATAGCTAAGGCAGATGGGAGTAAAACTGCATACAGGAGAGCAGCAATGTAGGGGCCATTCTTGATAGGGGTACCAGCAGAGGTAAGGAAATCCCGAGCTTGCCAGAGGGTGCCAAAGTCATGTACAACCCCAAAAGCGTAACGAGAATCAATATAAATGGTGGCGGAGTGCCCCTCAGCCAGAAAGCAAGCGCGGGTTAGGGCAACTATCACAGAAGGTAATGGCACAGCTTCTAGGGTTTCAGAGAGTGATACCGCAGCATATCCTGAAAGGAGACGAGCTTGTCTATCTCAAAAGCAGGAACCGTCAGTGAACAACACAAGGTCGGAGTTAGAGAGAGGAACATCAGAAAGGTCAGGGTGCGGGACGGTGACAGCAGAGACAGTTGCTAGGCAGTCGTGGGGTTCGCTGTCATCGGACAGAGGAAGGAGAGTGGCAGGGTTCAGCTGAGAACAGCGCTTTATGGTGATATGTGAAGCCGAAAGCAGTAAAAGTTCGTACCTAGTGAGGCGGGCAAAGGAAAGGTGAGCTGTATTACGTTGTAGCAGGAGCGTTTCTACAGAGTGAGGGACCATGAGAGAAACAGAAGAGCGGAGGACAAGGGACTCAGACATTTTAATTAGGCGTGCCGCGGCAGCCACAGCACGCAGGCAGGGGAGTAGACCTTGGGCAACAGGATCCAAGGTGGCAGAGAAATAAGCTACTGGACGATTTTTGCCACTATGCTCCTGAGTAAGAACCCCAAGTGCACAACCAGATTGCTCGTGGCAGAAAAGGGTAAAAGGCTTACAGTAGTTAGGTAACCCTAAGGTAGGGGCAGTGAGAAGCACTAGAGAGTCAGTTTCTGAGGCAGATAATGAAGGGGAACAGAGGAGTAAATCATTTACACATTGGACCAATGTGGATCCAGAGGGGAAGACCAGGTCAACGAGGTCTCTGGCTAATGCTTGGGAAAAGTAAGGCGTGCTTTCTGTGTACCCCTTGGGAAGCATGGTCCATGTGTACTGCTGCCCCTTGTAAGAAAAGGCAAAAAGATATTGGGACTTAGGGTGAACCGGGACAGAAAAGAAAGCAGAACACAGATCAACAACAGTAAAATGACAGGGACAGCTCCCAGACTCACTCACATCACAGGGAAGACAGATAGACACAGAGACAAGACAGTCCTCAGTCCAGAAATAATTACCTGACCAGAGTCCTGATGTTAGATCCCGGGATCCCTACCAGAACAGAGCGGGAACCAACAGGTTCAATGGCGTAGACTTCGCTGTGGTTGTGCACCTTTCCATTCTGGCAGAGGACCGCTCGGGCCAAATGCCCAGGTGCCGGCTACCACAGTCATCCTGCAAGATGGTCAGGGATCACACAGCCTCAGCGAAGACGGTTGCCATCTCGGTGGGACCTCCAAATTGTCAAAGTCAGACAGGACTCACAGATTTGTCAGACCGCTCTGTTTATTTTAGCAAAGCTCTGCTAAAATGCATCCAGAAAATGTGAGCACCATACAAGGTTCAAACCCCTTGATTTATACAGTCAAAAAAAAGGTCAAGTTAACAGGATTAAAAGGAGGGGCAAAACTTCATATTATTAGTGTGAGACTTAGTCAAGTATCTAATACAATGTGTTGACTGTGCTCATCTTGTTCATCTATTTGACTTTAATAGAACAAATCACATAAAGGATTTGGTGCAAGAGTTAATCTTTGCTGGTTTTATTAGCACAGGAACCCTTATCCAACCAAAATAAATCTTAATATCTTCAAATTGAGAGTGCTATTTCAAATTAAAATGTAGTAGACTAAGAAAGGATAGTATAAACCTGTATTAGAAAAGCTAGAAGATGAGCTTTTGATTTTGCATTAAGGATATATGAGGGAGATTTGAACTGAAAAAATGTGTATGTTCTTTGTAGTCAATTCAATCAAGTAAAAGATGTTGAGATTTCTACATTTGTGGACTACTTTGTTTCAGAGCAAGGAAACTGTGAAAAATGATCTTTGGATTTGGAGTTTTGATGTTGAACATGATGTTGAACACTAGAGTATATGGGCGGCAGTTGTTTTGTTACACAAGCCCTTAATAATGTCAGATAACTGAGTCATACTGCACTGAAGTAACAAGAATATTGAAAAAACAAAGTAAATGTAATTAGCATAAAAACAATGAATAGTCCTGTTGCACCTTAGAATCTAACAAAAATGTATATAGTATCATGAGCTTTCATGGGCACAACCCACTTCTTCAGATCTGATATACATTTTTGTTAGTTTCTAAGGGTATGTCTGCACTTGTACCCTCATTCAAACTAGAGATTCAAATGCAGGCATTTGAAATAGTCAATGAAGTGGGGATTTAAATATCCCGCGCTTCATTAGCATGATCTCGCTGGTGTGTTACTCCAAATGCCAACTGTTTCGAAAGTGAAAGTGTGCACCACGACACGTTAGTTCGAACCAAATGTCCTCATTTTTTTTAGGAGTAACATTAGTTCGAACCACGGGTTTGAACTAACGCGTCCCGGCATGCACTTTCACTTTTGAAACAGCTGGCATTCGGAGTAATGCACCGTCAAAATCATGCTAATGAAGCACGGGATATTTAAATCCCTGCTTCATTGACTATTTCGAATGCCTGCATTTGCATCCCTAGTTCAAACTAGGGTGCAAGTGTAGACATACCCTAAGTTACCACAGGACTACTTGTTGTTTTTAAAGTTACAGATTAACACGACTACCCCTCTGAGAATTTTTAATTTGCATAGTAATTCAAACTTTTTTAATAAGATCGATCAATTAGTTGCATTTAATTAAATTAGTTGTGTGCATCTGTCATAAGCAAACCTGTAAGATTTCATGCCTCCATGGCCCAAACTGCTCTCTTTTATTTTGGTACTGGGAGCAAGATTGCTATGTTGAGGCACTGTCCTTCTAGCCAAGGAGGACTGAATGGGAACCCTTGAAATCTACAATATGCATTCTTAACTAACCAGAGTATTTTGTTCAAAGCTACATGAGGTACTTCTTCACAATGACAGAGTGTGTGTTGTCATTGCAGCACTTAATAATCCAGGGATCCAGAGACTGACTAATTTGTAAGGAATCCTTTCCGCTCTGGATACTTATGTGAGCCACATCATTATGTTATGTTAGCGCCTTATAAACATTAATCAATTTTATCCTCCTATCACATTAGCTTAGTGGTATGGGGACAGAGGGATTTTCATTGGCGATTACTTGAATGACAAGATGTTTGAATGTAGCCATCAGTCTGATAGAAACTACCAGAGCCTGTTGTCCTCTGATGTTATATTACAGAGAGTGGATTAAGGAAGAAACAGTACATCCGTGGTTTTGTGTGTGTATAAAATAGAAGAACTCTGAAGTTGTGGGTTGGTGAATGGTGGGTATATATTTTATATTGGCCTAATCTACAGCAAAGTACTTGAGAATTTCAGGCTTTTCTTAGGTCTAAGAAAGAAGAACAAACTGGGATGGCAGATATAACAGTGTTGTTTATTGAAACCTTTTGAATATTCTGAGACAGGAAAATAAATCACAGGTAATTTTATGGGAATCCAGTATAGGAAAATGCTGAAAGTCTAGTGCAGGTATCACACCATGTTTGTCAGGTTTTTTTGACCAAAGTCTATCAGCTAGTCTCAGAATGATTTTATATTTTATTTTGTAAAACTAAATTGTTTCTTCTGAGATTCATGAATTTTTAATTGTTTACAACTCTGTACGTATTCACGTACACTGTATATTTAATACTATGAATAACTAAAGGTTCTGTGATTGTCACATGTCAGACCCCTGGCTCATTTAGGGAATGTCTACACTTGCTCCCTAGTTCGAACTAGAGATGCAAACGTAGCTGACCGAAATTGCTAATGAAGCGGGGATTTAAATATCCTGCACTTCATTAGCATAATCTCACCTGCGCGTTAGTCCGCTCACCAGCTGATTCGAACCAGTAAGTTCACTCTGGGTCGCATTAGTTTGAATCAGACCCCTTGGTTCGAACTAATGTTACTCCTCAAAAATAGAGTAACGTAGTAAATGAGGAGTAATGTTAGTTCGAACGAAGGGGTTTGATTCGAACTAACGCATCTCGGAGTGCACTTCCTGATTCGAATCAGCTAGCGAGCGGAACAGCGTGCTGGCTAGATTATAGTAATGAAGCATGGGATATTTAAATTCCTGTTTCATTAGCAATTTCGGTCAGCTACATTTGCATCCCTAGTTCGAATTAGGGAGCAAGTGTAGACGTACCTTCAGTGTTGTCGTTAAACTCAAACATTTATGTAACTGGGTATCAAAAATGTGGGTGAGCCAAATCATCCCTAGTTTAAGAAAAAAAAATTAGCAAGAGAAAGTATTGTTTGACTTAGTTCCTGTGACAAACAGAGCCATTGGGAGAATACAAATTTTCATAAGACGGTTCTCTGTTATTTTTATGGGTTGAAATTGCATCGCATCATTTCCGTGTTTGTCTCTTTGCCCCCCCCAGGAAATTCCACTTACTTGGATGATCATGGACCACCTCCACGCAAGGTGAGCTCTTTGCATTTTTAAGTTACCACTTGCTTTCCGATTGTATATTTGGGCCAAATTGTACTTGGTAGTACAATTTATTGACTAGTAAACATGGAGTAAATCCACTGAGTTGTACACTGATATAGCTGAAAGTTCAGTTTGGCCATGTGGCTGTCCTTCAGAAAGCATTTTCTTCTCTCAGAATTTTGTAGATAACTTGCACAAAAATAATTTAACTTGGATAAAATACTGATTCATTGAAGTCAGTGAGAATGGGATTTCAGTCTTATTCTTACCTGGCGCCAGCATGATGCAGTTTGTCAGGACATACAGTAGAATGCTCAGTGAGCCTCTATTCCAGAACCATATGATCACTTAGTCATTTTAGGAAGTGTCAACAAAATGATACAATTGTTCTTGTTCTTGTGAAGTATTTGTTCACAAATGCAACAGCCTAACAGGGCTAAATTATCTTTACTAAACCTTCAAACTAAATCTCTTCCTCTTAGTTTCCTTTTTTAAACAGCAAGTATTTCAGCAGGTATACCAGAGGCATAGCAAGGGTGTTATGCGCCCCTGGGGTGAAGGCAAAATTTGCGCCCCTGCCACCGCCGCTGCGTGGCAATGCCCCAAACCTGGCACATGGCTGAGCCCGACCTGGAGATTGGGGGAGCTTGTACTGTGTCTTACCCATCCCCTCCAGTTTGGGGCCAGGCCTCGCATGCACTAACCCTCCAGCAGAGATGGAGGAGGGTCTGGCCGGCGGGCAGAGAGGCGGGGAGGAGGCGGCTCCAGCTGGCGGTAGTGGGCGGAGGAGGAGCAGGCAAGCAGAAGGATGACAGGGAGTGGAGAGGGACTAAAGTGGCACCCCACTTGCGTGGCACCCAGGGATAACTCGCCCCTCTCTCCCCTGCTCCCTCCTCACTACACCACTATAAATAATCCACCTCTTAGGATATGTATTGTTTAATGAATTACTTATTTTACTAACTACAGACAAATATAAATTATTAAGTTTTTGTGGTTTACATTCTCTTAAATAATAATTTTTTCTTTAATTTGTTCATATCCTGATCTCATTAGGTTCATGCCTTTTACATAAAATATGTCAAATTCTTAAAATATGGGAATAAACCAAACTGAGAGATGCATCTTGGATGCTGGAATAACTTTGTCCATACTATGAATTTGTATCTCTTTTTTTATTTTCTAATCCAATGTAGTCATAAATGTACTGTCTTTAGTGGTGAGATATTTGAAAGTGGTCTGCATGCTGGCAGCAACTGCCAGAGCCATTGTGCAAAAAAAAAATAAATGGTTCCAGGAATGCAAGCAGTGGAGGTGTCAAGTACACTTTGTACAATGTCCATAAGTACAAAATTCCAAGATGCTGGTCCAATTTTTCTGGTCAGTGAACTGTGTAGTGTTATAGCCTTGCCTCCTGCAATGCTCTTTATCACATACTGAGTTATGAGCACTGCTTTCAGAGCATTTCAAGAAGGCAAGGACAAAAATTATGTCTGGCCTCTGCAAAAGTGGTCACATACTTCTTGTGCATACAGGTACAATCTATGAAATCTAATTTGGTGTTACCATAGCTCTAAAACTTTCCAAAAAGACACATAAAAAGACCATTATAACAAAAATTTGTCTGCTTTATAAGATAAATACAGTGAGTTTTCTTAAAAAAGAAGGCATAATCCTGCCAAGCTATTAATTTTGCCATGTTATTTTCATTTTCTTGTGCATAGCATAGTATGGCAATATGTTTATATCCTAGTAAAGTAAATGTTTCTTTTGCAAGTTTGCGTATGGTGCAAAGGATACAATGACAAAAAATATTTTTTAAAGGTTTCCTTTCCCAAATAATTTCTCTTTTCTCTATTACGTAGAACAGAGATATTAAAAATAAAGGGTGGAAGATGAGAAGAAATCATATGATACACTAGCATTTTATCAATAGCAGATTGGCTTTGGCTGTGGATATGTTTTAATATAAAACTTGTCCAGTTGCACTCATTCTAGTGGAGGTTGGGCATTGATATGCATGTGTGAACACCTGAAAACCTGTAAAAAATCGGGTCCTAAGTCACTTAGGTGCTTTTGAAAATGTTATCCTTAATCTCTCAAAATGCAACAGAACCTCCTTTTTAATCATCACATTCCCCCTGCCAATCCCCAAGTGATATTTTGTATCTGTTTGCACCTGAATAACACAAGTATCTTTATGGGTTTCTTGAATGGGTAGTTATGAAGATAGATAGATCAGTATAGTCCTAACAGAGATAATAAAATAAATTTAAGTAAACTCTTCATTTATATCTGTTAGGGCAGTAGTTCTCAAACTTTGTGATACCGCGACCCCCCTCTAAGTTGCTCACGAGTCCCCAGGGGGTTGGGACCCATAGTTTGAGAAATGCGGTTTTAGGGTAAAAATATAACTCCAAATGTTTTTTGTCTTGAAAAATTGCAGTTTCCTGTGTGTTCCTAAAAGACATTTTTTATGTATTTTGGGCACAATCTTATGTTTCTGTCTTATTCAAAAACACTATAGCATGCACGGACTAAAGAATTGCTTAGGGCTGGCCTGCACTGTGAACCCTCAGTTGATAGAGTAAGAATGCTTATTCCAGACCCATATTTTTTATATTTGATTTAGAACACAGAAATGCCTTCCCAGATGTATAAGGAAAGGACTGTAATATAGATTAATATAAAAAAAATAACTTTGAAAACTTCTGATTTGCTTGCCAAATTTGACATTTTGTTCCTCTTGTTTCAGGACTTTTGAATTACACAGGAGAAGGGCTGAGGGACATGTGCCATAATGCATAGTAGCAACTGTTCAGATTTATCAGTCCCAGATAGTTCCATAATACATTCTGAAAAATTTACCTTAGTTGTCTTGTCTTAAAGATTCCTGGCTAATCTACAGTTTTTTTCAAAGCTTCCCAGTGCCTTACTATCTTTAGTGTATTCACTTAGTAGAATGTGGTGTCTCTTTTTTTCCTTATTTCACTCCTCTTCCAGCTTGCAGATAAAGTTTCAAATTTCTGATTAAGAATGCAGTAATCATGGGCAGTGGCTAAAGGTAGGACTGGGAGTGGCCCCCAGCTTCACACCATCTGCCCAGGCCCTCTCCCCCTACACCAGTCTCTCTCACCTCCCTCCCCCCCTCCAGGCACAGGGAAGGCAACCGCTGGGGGGCAGCAACATTTTGTCCCAAATACACCTACAGTAAACGTTCTGGGGGTGGAGTGTGGATGGGGCCATGCCTGGCCATTTGGGAATACAATGCCTTCCCTCCCCCCCATGATACACGCTGCCCCCAGCTGTAGTTTGAGGCGTGTCAGTGTTTCACTAATATCTGTGGTACTCATAAGACCACATCTGTGTCCTGGGGTTCGTCTAGACTACAGGCTTTTGTCGACAGATACTGTCGACAAAGCTTCTGTCGACAAAGAGCGTCTAGACTACATTCAGTTCTGTCGACAAAGCAGCTTGCTTTGTCGACATGGCAGTGTAGACACAAAGGACAGTTTAGATGTAATAACGCTTTCTGTCAACAGAACTCTGTCGACAGAAGGTGTTATTCCTCGTAAAATGAGGTTTACCAGCATCGACAAAACTGCTCAGTTCTGTCGATGTTATGTCGACAGAACTCAGCGGTAGTGTAGACGCAGGTTTAGTTTTGTCCACTTTTGTCGACAAAACCCTGTAGTCTAGACACATACCTGTTGATATCATCATGATTAGTCTTTGGGCTGCCCAATGTGAACTAGATGTTTTAAACAAGCCTGAATAAGCTCCAACTTGAATCAAGTGCCCATAATAAAAATTGTGGACATTTTGTCCCACCAGTTCTGACTGTTTAAATAAACAGTACAGCAGGGCAATAGAATGTAGTCTTACACAAGTGCAATTATCTTACATTTTTGAAGCACTTGCCTAACCGCTTCTTCAAAAATATTGAGAGGGCATAGGTTGGGATATAAACATCTTGATTGTCCCAACAGCAGCAGAAGCACAACCCTCACTTATTTTTCTGTTCACTCCTGTTTGTCAAAATCTTTGACAAGGTGGCATTATATACTGTACAGATACTTGTAGAGGTTGATCCTCTCTAATCCGGCATACTCTGGTCTGGCAACATCTGTGGTCCAGCGTGATTTTAGTTAGCCAGATGTCCACTGATCATGGGTGTGGTCAAGTTTCCCACAGTACCATAAAGTTTGTTTACAACCACCAGTCCTGGCTGTCAGTGTTCTGTGTGTTATTTACCTCTATTTTACCCATAAATGTCTTCTAAGAGCCCAGTAAGCAATGGAAGTGTTGGTAATGATACTAGGCAATATTGATGTTCCATGGTCTGGAAAATTCTCAGGTTTAGCACTAGTCAAGTCCCAAGGGTGCTGAACTAAAGAGGTTCAACTTGTACTTTTTAAGGGCCAGATTATTTCCTCGGATCCATTAGTCCTATTGCTTTTCGTGGCATTGCATGGGTAGGTAGATGTGTATGTTATTGACCCTCCATTGAAGCATTAGCTACTACCATTGACTTGAAATAAGAAACTACTGTATATGCATCCTGATTCTCATTCAGGCAACTTTTATGTTTTTATATCAAGCTAAATATTGGATTGTTTGAAGCTGTTGGAATTGTAAATTTTGAGGTGATAGATGAATGTTTTCAATGGGAATGGCACATATAAATTTGTAGGTAAGGTTTGGCCCTGAAATCCATTGTTTAAAATAATATCATCATAAAGAATTTTTAACAGGGTTTCTTATTTTACTAGACCTGTCAGCATACAATTTTTTAATATGCATAATGCATAGTTGTAGACGCCCTTGGCTGTCACATACAGTCCTGGAATGTACTTTTCTTGAAGTTGTACTTTTGACTTTAGTTCATCTGTGATCAGTCTATTCCTAGGTACTACTGTGGAAATCTCTCCAGTATGTTTGTAACATTTGTGATATTAATCAGTGAGAATCACAGTGTGATCTAAATTAAA